TGCCTTGCCAGCCCGCTCAGAGATGTGTATAAGAGACAGGGGATAGGTATAGCTTGTCTATTTGTCAAGTTCTTCAAGTCGACTGTGCTTCGAGAACAAAAGACTTGCATATTATATTGCTTGAGTTTTTTCAAGGGTGATATACATATACAGATCTTGTGAAAAATATTGTTAACAGCGGACCCAGCCCCAATGACCTTGACCTTGATATGTGTTATCGAAGTCATGACTCTAAGTGACCTATAATTGGTTTCAACCGTCGCTAGTTCTTTGTTAAAAAGTTATTAACAAAAAAGTTATAAAAATTTTTAGTAATCATACATTTTATGAAACCTTCAATGATTTTGATCTTGACATATGTTGTTAAAGTCATGACTTTGAGTGACCTTCAGAAGATTTTAGCCGTCGCTCTTAGTAATATAAACATTAATTAAAATTAATAAAATTATACTTTAACTTTTTACAGTGTTTCCTGCATTATTGATAACTCGCGGACGATAAATTATCTTGTGGTTACAATCAGTGCAACTATATCCATCGACATGGATCGACAGCAGCTGGATAAGCTCACTATAGATGAGCTGCTCGCTAAACTCTCGCTATACAATTTACCGGGTAAAGACACTCGTGAAAAATGCATAAACGCGCTCATGTCATACTATGAGCGACATGATGTGACATCCGAATTTCATGGTCGAACGCGTCTACCAGTGCTGAATGTGGAACACCTCCCGCGGCGGAAGGATCCAAACATGTGTCGTGTGGAAACCAGCTATTTCCACCATTGAAGAAACTTTGAGACTGCTCACTAAACAGATGCGTGTGTTGTTAGCTCAAAACACTATTAATCCACCAAATATTCGAGACTCTAATCCAAGTCCGTCTACGACGTCGGTATCTCCGGCCTCTCAAGATGTCATTTCGCCAATGAGCTCGCTCCATACAGGCCAAACTGTGAAGCTATTGGCTACTTTGATTCCTTCGTTTTCCGGATCAGAGGATGAGGATGTCCAAATATGGATCGACAACGTGGATCGAGTTGCAACCATATACGGAGTGGGTGACGGTGTTAAACTGTTAGCCGCCTCCAGTAAGCTGTTGAAACGTGCTCGAGACTGGCTAGAGCAGGACACCGGCCAAGTTAATACGTCATGGGTGTCATTTAAAGAGGGGTTACTCCGTCGATTCAAGAGATACGTGTCCTTCCAGGCTGCAATGCAGAAAATTGATGCTTGTCACTGGAATTATGGAAAGGAAACTTTCCATGAATATGCATCTCAAAAATTAAAATTGATGCATCATCTGAAACTGAGCGAACAAGATAAAATTGAATTGTTGATCAATGGCATTGGTAGCCTATCGGTGAGAAGCGCTGCATCAATGCTTGATGCCCAGACAATGGACGAATTTTTGAAAAAAATGGATAAAGCAACATCTTGCTGCGGGATTGTGGCCAAGAAATCTTCCCCCGTTCCAATCAGAAAGGAGAAACTCAAGGATACTTCATCATCGTCAACGGAGAACAGTTCTCCTTCGAGAACTTCGAAGGATGTATCGTACGCCTATTGCAAGGCAAAAGGACACACAAAGGATGACTGCTTTAAGTTAAAGAAGAAAGACCAGCATACGGCTTCGTCTACTTCTTCCGTTGCTGCTTCGAAGTCGGTAGCCGCTGCTTCCAGTGGGGACTCCAGTGTGACCGTCTCCTGTGAGGACACCGATGCTGCCACTCAAGTAGGATGCGTCGCTGATGGTTCGACATTAAAACTCGATGAAGGCAATCCCATTGTTGAGGTTATATCTATTAATAATTCAGCGTGTAGCCTTTTAGCTCTCATTGATACGGGTAGCCCAGCGTCGTTTATTCTCTCGTCAGTACATAAAATATTTTTCGGGCAGTATTCAAAATTAACTAAATCAGTACATGATAACTTCAAAACTTTGAGCAGCGCAAATATTGATGTTGTTGGTTCTTGTTCTGCAAAAATCGGGTTAACTTTTCTGCCGAATATCCTTTTAAAGATGGATCTTCATGTAATAGAGAATACCTCGTGGTCCACGCACATAGTACTTGGTCGCGATTTTCTTGCCGCTAACAAATTAACTCTTTTGTATAGTCCGTTATCTAGTAACGATAATGATGACGCAACGAAGGTGAAACTTTTCGAAGAGGTAACTTCCGCCGACGTTTGTCAAGTCGAAGACAATATGCAGAATGAAAACGACATCAAGACTGATTTCGGTAAAAATGTCGACACGAGATTACATTCGTTGCTTAAGGATATTGAAAGCACGCCGGTCGCGCCAATTGAAGATAATTATAATGTAAAAATAGCTCTTAAGGATGACTCCGTCTACGCTTATGCGCCGAGAAAATTTGCACACACCGAGCGTATTCAAATCCGCGACATTACTGACGACTTATTAAAACGAGAAATTATTAAGCCGAGTACATCACCGTACTGTGCTCGAGTGGTACCAGTTCGTAAGAAAAATGGCTACGCTAGTGCGTCGACTTGCGTCCTCTAAATGAGCGCGTATTAAAACAGAAGTACTCATTTCCCGTTGTCGAAAATTGTCTTGCGGTACTTGGTGGTAAAAAGATACCCTGCCGAAAATGTTCGATTAAAACCGATTATAAAAAAAGTTATACAAATCGATCGGGATTTCTGCACCGAAAATACGGTATTAAAAAGGATTAAAATCCTTTGGTCGAACCAAAAATAGTCGATCCAAAATTTACTGATTGATATA